TATATACAAACCTCTTTAGATTCCAAAATATTTAAATACTAGATAAGTGTCCAAAGTTGATTTCCTCAATTGCAATTAATCACGATTTATTTGACTTTCAATAATAATCTGACATACACACTTTTCTAAGTGAATATAAGAAACAAATATTGTACGAATAAAAAAAATAAATCTTTAAATACATCAAATATATTTGTCTATCAAAGCCTACTTTATGAAAAATTATAATTTTTATCTACTAAGTTTTTACTATCACACCTATTCTAATTAATAAAAAACGTACTTATAGGTGAAAGATTATTCTGAAGAGCATAAAAAAGTAATCCTACTTCTAAATTTATTTTAAAAAGGCACCAACTAGCAACTAATGTTTAAAGAATACCATAGTTTTATGGCGAAAGAGCTCTGATTCTAATTCAATTAATCAAGTTGTAGTGATAAACTTAACCGCACGGTTTAAACAGTTTTGCAATACAGATTATACCTAAATACGATTCAACCAGCAATTAACTTCCTGCCGTGGAGCAAGAGTAGATTCATTAATCAAGGTCGATTAATTTATTTTATCTACTATATCAAAAGTAATGATTTGAAACTTTTTTAAGTATATCAATAATGTAAAATCTTTTTAAATATTTAGCAACGGTTCACTATCGTAGAGCTGAGTATAAAATTAAATTAAAATTATATAATTATTAACTTATAATTAATTGAAATACCTTTTTAAATTCAGCAATGTACGATTAATATTTTGACACCAAAAAATTATACTTATTGATATCAGTTTCCAATACTCAAAGACAATATACTATCACTTGAGAAAATCTTATACAAAAATTGTACTTCTGAAAACAAATGATTTCAATATATCAAATATAATTATTTCAAAAAATTTATCTCAAAGCATACTTTATACAATAATTTTTTGATGAAATATTTATTTTGTTTCTTTACAGTCGAGAGATATTAATTATACAATGATAAGAGTAGTAAAACAGTATTAAATATTTTTTAATATATTAATGTAATCTGGCAAAATTTTAAAGTCAGTCTGACTTATTGTTCTGAGTAGT